CTCACGACGTTTCGGGTATTATACCACTCGGCCTTCTTCAGTGTGTCTGCCTGATTATATACTTTTCTATTCTGACCAGCATACCCATTTTAGTTGTTATACTCACAACGTTTCGGGTATTATACCACTCGGCCTTCTTCAGTGTGTCTGTCTAATTATATACTTTTCTATTACGACCACCTTACCCATTTTAGTTGTTATACTCACAATGTTTCGGTTATTTTACCTTTCGGTCTTCGTCAATATGTCTGTCTTATTACAGACCAACGTCTCATCAAAGGACTAATAGGAAGATGGGGTGGTCCATTTAAACCTATTGTCCGTAAATGGAAAGGGATGATTTTTGAGTTAAAAAAAACCCATAGTAGTAACTACCAGTAGTTATGATCATAATTTAAACGCTATAAATATGTTCATATGGCATAAATAAATATATACTTAATGTAGATATATTAAAGAAAATCACAAAAATAATAGATTTCTCACAGCTACTTTCTCGCGCACGCGCTAATGTATCGTACTTTCCGCCTTTATTTACAATCGAAAGGCCCGCTACCACCGCCCTGCGATCACTTTGAGAATTAATACGACTCGTTCCGCTAAGCCTGCGAATTTTGAAATACATTGGAGGGTTTTTTTTAGTTTTTTTCTTGCAGATTGTTTTTATTTTGCCGGCAGATTTTTTCCTTTTCATTCGAAGTCTATTGGTGGGGTTCTCAGTAAATGAGAGGTTTTTCTGCATATAGTTTTCTAATACGACCAGTATTCTCATCTTAGTTATTATACTCACAGCGTTACGGGTATTGTACCATTCGGCCTTCTTTAGTGTCTCTGTCTCTTTATATACTTTCCTTTTACGAATATCATAGTAACGTTTCGTCCATTGTACCATTTGACCTTCTTCAGTTTGTCTCTTATTATATAGCTTTCCTATTCTGACCAGCATATTCATCTTAGTTATGATACTCACAATGTAGAGCATTGTACTGCTTGGCACTTTTTGGTGCCTGTCCTATTATATGCTCTGCTATTCAACGCACTATAAAAGAGATTCCACATAGGAGAAAGTCCCAAAGCCACACACCCATTCGCCGATATTAATTGACGATGACCCAGAGGTGAATAATTTCACGTATTAGGTAATTAGTCTCGCCTTCGTATTAGTTTTTACAATGTTAATGTTAAAAAAAAATAAATGATCCCTGGCGCCTCGTTATGGCGTATGGTCATCGAAAAATATCCTTGCAATTTTGACTTTACGATATCAAAATGGAGAAAAACGTGACACTAGCTGAATCCCACTCTCAAAACCAGAACAGCGTTCACCCAAACAGAAAAAAAAACCTATTTTCCTTCTATTACTTGGATATCTTAACGAATGTTCAGAGGTCCAACATCTCAGCCGGTGTACCACGCGCTTGGACACCAATACACCCCACGTCTTTGCCAAATGACGGTTGACACGATGAATGTATTCATCTGCCCTTTGACAAGATTTGGTTTTAATCCTGCCGGGTGTATAGCCACTCTCCTCACCAGAAAGCCTGGTGCAGGACCCGGTTTAGTTGGCGATAAACCGACAATGCTGCAGATAGTAGTTATCGATATATTACTAGTAGTTCTCATGTTAATGATAATAGCAATATTAAACGTTTCCCTATAAGGAAACATTTGGCATTCATTGACCGAGCAGCCATAACTACTGTCGGTTGAAATTTATAAAATCTTTCTCTTTTAAGAATTATTTGAGAAAAAAACGTTTTTCAAACATTGGACAGATGAATTAAGATGAAAGTGGAAGCAGATCTATAAGATTCTATCCTGAACAAATATCACCGGGAATCGAAACCGGCACCTAGACCTCTACAAAGAGATCAGACAGGAAATTCAATGGTTGTTATGGATAAATAGTGCAGTAAAAATACATAATAAAAAAAACAAAAACATACATAATGCAAATTTGAAGTTCTGCTAATAGTAAGCCATTTTCATATAAGGAAACATTTGGTATTTATTATCTAAATAGTATTGCAGTACTGCTTTCAGATGAAATTTGTAAAATATTTCTCTTAAAACAACTTCTCAGGAAAACAGGTTACTCAAGCCGATTAGCTGTTATTGTTTCCAGTACTGTTGGTCGGGGGGCTCCTTTTGTTTGAAGTGCTGTTTAATGTCAACATTGGGATTATATCATTATTTTATCTTTGAGTTACATGTGCTATCCATTTTAGTTGTTGGTAGTCCTCAAGTGATATGCTTTCTGTTATTTGTTTGTTAATCTGTAACGCCAGTCGTCAAAGTTCAAGGATGTAGAATAAGAATAATCAACAGCACTTACCGGCGTAAAGGTCCCAGCTAGCGTCCAGCTGGCAGACAAAAATAAAGCAGGTTGTAACTTAATACAAACCCTGCAAACTAACTGATGAATCAAGCTGGTTTTTATAGAGAAATACCTCCACTCAGGTACCAGCAGCCAATCACAGCCCAAGCAATGGACTAT